AATAGGAGTTTCGCGAGAATCCTGTTTTCAGAATTCATTCCGCAAGATCAATTCCACATAGACTTCGTGACGAAGTCAAAGCAGAGCTGGACAATATGGTAAAACAAGGTGTGATAATCAATCAAGACAGTCCTACTCCAGTTTTAAGCAATTTGGTTATAGTCAAAAAAGGAAAGAAGAATTTGTATGGACCCAACAGATCAAAACAGGAATATTCTTCGTAGACATTATCCATTCAGTACCATTGGGGAAATTCCAGCAAGAAATAAAAATTCGACTTGGTTCACTATTCTTGATTGTTAAAAAGGATTTTGGCAGGTTAAGGTTTCAGAAGAGTCTGTGAAATATCTAACGTTTTCAACTCCGTGGGGCAGATATTCTTATCAACGACTTTCTTTTGGGTTGTGTTCTGCTCCAGAAGTTTTCCAGAATCTGATATCATCAATTCTCCAAAAATTCAAGAACGTAGAGGTATCAATGGATGATATACTAATTAACGCTACTTCAGTGGAAAATTTAGATTGCTGACCAAGAAAGTGATAAAGGAGCTATTTGAAAAATGAGTAAGATTGAATAAAGAGAAATGTCAGTTTGATGAACAATCGATCAAATTCCTTCGCCACATAGTGAATAAAAAAGGACTTAAACCAGATGCGGATAAGATTGATGCTATTAATAGATTGAAAATGCCAACAGACAGAAAATCACTTCAAAGACTTCTAGGAATGGTGACATAATTTTCAAAATTCATTTCGAATTTATCAGATATAACTAAACCTCTAAGACAACTTTTGATAAAAAATTATGAATGGTGTTGGTGTCATGAACAAGAAGTGGCATTTGAAACTATCGAGAATAAATTATGCAGTTTGCCTGTACTAAAGTATAACGATGTTAATGAGAACAACATTCTGTCAGTTGACAGTAGTTCTTTTGCTATGGAAGTAACTTTACTTCAGGATGGACATCCAATAGCATATGCTTCAAGAGCACTCTCACTAGCTCAACAAGCTTATCCACAGATAGAAAAAGAAGCTCTGGCAATAAGATTTGGTTGTCAGAAATTTCATCCTTTCAACTTTGGTAAAGGAGTATTAGTTGAAACTGATCACAAGCCATTGCAATGCCATATCAAGATGGCGGCGAGTGATGTTGTATTGTTAACCGCGGAGTTGAATAAACTGAAAAAATCCGAAATGATTGAGCTAATTACTGTCTACAGACTACCATCGTCCGTACAAAGCCAAATACTATCGAATTTTGTGGAAACACTTAGTGTGAACGGCTGAATTCAAGTGAGAATGACTCTGCCGATCATTCTAACCTCAACCGACCACCAAGTGAAAGTGTACTCAGTGAAAAATTAAAAGAGGAAATTTCCTCGCTACAGTCTGAACTGTCTACTCTTCAAAGGCTTTTGCACCATCTCGAAAAAAGAACAGCAGAGCAGGAAGATTTGATATTTGTCTTGAAACAAATCAACAATTTCGACAAATTCCGACAGCCGACGCCATCTACAAGTTTTAGTACAAACCAAACTATGACGAACACTACGAAGTCAAGCGCAAGTGAGAATGTTTCATATGCACAAAAACTCATGCCATCGACGAGCGATACACAAAAAGCTCAAAACCAACATCAGTCTAATAATATCCCAACAAAAAAAAGCCCAGGTACCCAAAGACAAATTATTAACATCGAACAAGTGAACTCAGCTGTGGAAAGTGCAATGAACTCTGAGAAAATAAACAATGAATATCAAATTGAACCCAATAAACCCATCATTGGGGCGAGTAGAAACAGATCGTTTTTCGAGACCCTTCCAACATTGGGGTACATTCACATTAGCCGAATTCACCCTGATATGACAGCAGTCGATCTCAGCAAATTTCTAAAAGAAACAGCACCTCAAATCCGAGCAAAGAAGTCTGGGTGTACATCACTTCTTAAGGCATTGTCCGCTATTCACGTAAAAATGTCCAAATCTAATGAAGATATTTATAGATTATTGGAAACATTAACAACACAAAACTCTGAAATAGTTAATCAAAATACTGAAATTAAAGAAGAAGTACAGAAAATAAACTGCAACATTCATGAAATAAAAGGAGAAATAGAAAGATTGCATGTCAAGAACAATTTACTGGAAGAAGATAACAAGAATCTGAGAAATAGATTGGACATACTAGAAAAAAAAGCAAAGAAATTCAATTTGGTTATTTACGGCATACCAGAAGAAGAAGATAACTTGATTGCAGTAGAAAAACTGGTTACAGAAAAGCTTTCCCTGGATTGTAACAAAGGAGATATAAGAGATTCATACAGAATTGGCAAAGTAATTTCGAGTAAACCTAGACCATTAGTGACGGAGTTTGTCAGATATTCTTTGAAAACAGAAATTCTAGCAAAAGCTAGAATTTTGGAGAAAGGGAGTGGTATTTTCATTTCCAACGATTATTCACCAGCAGAATATAATAAGAGAAAAGTGCTTCATCAACATCTTAAAGCTGCAAGAGAAAAACACAATTCTGCTTATATCAAAAATAATATTCTTTTCGTGAATGGTGAAAGTTTTTCATTTGAGGATCTAGAAAACTCAAACCCTCACAAACCCACCGGCCCAAATAAAAATCTGGAAGCATCCCAAAGGATAGAAAAAGTCAACCCCACGGCAGTTCAGAATACAAAGACTGGAACCAAACCAAAAGTTTCAGTCAATCAGTCAAATAAATCACTAATCAAGACTCGATCAAACTCCATCTCTACAAAATAGTTGATCATTGCATTTTTCATACTGATATACGTATTGCACATTTGATTACTGTTGTTTTAAATATTGTTATTATAAATATAATAATAATTATTATTATTATTATTATAAAAACCCAGATTTGATTGCCCAATACTCTATCTTATTTTTATTCTATTCTTATTACTGTAGTATATTTTTGTTCCAATATATTATTATCATGGATTCATATATTAGAGATTTTAAGGTTAAACAGATAAAAACAGCTGTAACTGCAAATGCAACAGAATGTAGGACTCACCTACGGATCAATAGTCAACGAAGTGATATTAAACTAATACACAATAATATCAGAAGTATCACAAAGAACTGGGATGAATTCAAAATAATACTGAGCGAACTTGATGTCAACTTTGATATTATTGTGTTGACCGAAACGTGGAATATTCAAGATACTTCATTTTTCAATCTTGATGATTATGATCTTCTTTATAATAATGGTGACTACAATCAGAACGACGGTGTTGTTGTATATTTAAGAAATACGTTTACCTATGAACATGAAATTGTTAATATTGCTGGTGCTAAAATTATCAATATTTCATTAGAAATTCATGACAAACATATCTTACTCATTGCTGCTTATAGACCGCCCTCTCTATGTGTTGATAATTTTATTGAAAAATATGGAGATTATCTGAATTCATTGAGAAATAATTACGATTTTTGTATTTTGGTTGGAGATTTTAATATAGACATTCTTGCAGAAAATAATCCTACTAACGACTATCTCAACATTCTGGGAGAATTAGGCTACGAGTCAATGATCAACGATTACACTCGTATACAGAATGAATCAAAGTCATGCTTGGATCATATATTCATCAAAAGTAAATCACAAAACATTAGTTTCAACCCACAAATTTACAAATCCCTAATCACCGATCACTTCACCACTATCACCCAAATTGTGCCACCTGTTCCAGAAAATGAAGAAGTTTCCCAACAAACTAAATCGTTCTTAGATATCACACATCTTAAAAAAGAACTCAAAGATGAAAATTGGTTACAAATTTACTCATCCAACAACGCTAATATTGCGGCAAAACTATTTTCGGAAAAGTTACAATATTATATTCATACATCTACCAAAACAGTTAAACTAAAAAGAAATGAACAAAAAAGAAAATGTTGGATTACAAATGGAATCATAAAATCAATTAGGAAAAAAAGGGAGCTATATATGAAAATGAAAAGCAATCCGAATGTAGGAAATGTATCAAATTATAGGCAATATCAAAATGAACTCAATAAACTGATTAAATTGGCTAAAAAAACTTTCTATCAAAACTTAATTCAACAAAATAACAACACGTCAAGTCTTTGGAAAGCTATCAAACACATCTCATGTACCAGTATTAAAAAAGATGGAATCACTAGAATTAAACTAGACAATGGAAATATAACTAGCGACAAATTAACTATAGCCAACAAATTTTGTGAATATTTTACCGAAGTGGGACCAAAACTTGCCAATCAAATAAAAACTAACAGACAAACAAACCCTACTTGTAATACCCGCACATGTAATTCTATTTACCTCGAGGAAACCAACGAAAATGAAATTCTAGAAATCATTCATAATCTAAAAAACAAAAAAGCGCCTGGTATTGATGGACTTCGTACCGAAACCATAAAAGAAATAGCAACAGACATTGCATATCCACTAGCATGGATAATCAATTTATGTTTATCAAACGGAGAAGTACCAGAATTATTCAAAATAGCTAAAATAAAACCGCTGCATAAAGGTGGGGACAAGATGAGTGTGACTAACTATAGACCCATTTCCCTTATTTGTAACTTAGCAAAAATTTTTGAAAAAATATTGAAAAAAAGAATTGAAAAATATCTAAAACATCATAAACTCTTATCAGAGAGGCAATTTGGTTTTCGAGAAGGTAAATCTACAAACGATGCAATTGCAAAAGTTACTTCAGAACTGAGTGAGTATATTGACAAGAAAACTCCAGCGATGTGCATCTTTGTAGATTTAGCAAAGGCCTTCGATACGGTGGATCACACTCAACTTCTCCATACGCTGGAATGTTTCGGTTTCAGGGGCGTAGCAAAAGACCTGATGAACAGTTACCTACGAGGAAGGAAACAACTTGTGAATATTGGTGAAAACTATAGCACAATGAGAGTAGTTGAATGTGGTGTTCCTCAAGGAACCGTACTGGGTCCGTTGTTATTCAACATATACCTCAATGACCTATACCAATTATCACAGTCTGGTAGAATAACAAGTTTCGCGGATGACACAGCTATCGTGTATCATGATATGGATTGGAACTCACTGAAACAAAATGCAGAGAAAGATCTCTCATCTATTTTCGAGTGGTTCAATGGAAAATTACTAACGGTTAACTATACAAAAACTTATTTTATACCATTCACGTCATACGCCACAAATTTACCATCCTTCCAAAAATTGAATATTAGCATCCAAGACGAATCAATTGAAATATCCGGCATCAATAGTATAAAATACTTAGGAATTTTCATAGATAGTCATCTCCGATGGGACCGACACATTGTATATGTAACTAAAAAACTTCGTAGTTTACTTTTCAAATTCAAACAACTATCTCAAGTTCTCGAAATTCAACAAATGAAAATACTTTACCATTCCCTCATAGAAACACATATCAATTATGGAATCATAGCGTGGGGTGGAGCTTTAAACACACATTTATTCAGCCTAGAATTAGTACAAAAACGTTTGTTGAAAATAGTTTATAAAAAACCTTGGAGATATGGAACTCAAACTCTATTCACTGAAACCAAAATAATGGATATTCGTCAATTATTCTGTAAGAACATTCTTATGAGACAACACAATAACAAACATGAACTTGTGAATATCGACCATTCCTATAGTACTAGATTTAAAGAGAATCGCTTTTATATGCCAAGGGCTGAAAAATGTCTAATGCAAAGAAGCTACCCTTACTTAGGTCCTAAACTTTATAATTTAATTCCCATTGAAATAAAGAGGATCAACTCAAACCACTTATTTAAAAAAATGATGAGTAAATGGATTCTTTCAAAAACTCGGAAAGAACTACATAAATTAGTCAATCCTCAGCCAAATATCTGAATTATATATATTGGTATTGTTCTTATCATTATTAGTATTACTGTTGTTATTGTTGTTATTATTACCATTGCTATTTTATTATTGTTTTCAACATTTCAGTCAGTGTTTCTATATATTCATTACAAATTCGGAGTAGTTATATAATAATTGAAGTCATTCACCATTGAAATATTTTATTGTGAAGTGTGAAGTCCTATAGCACCCCCAATACAAACGACTCATAAGAAAGTGAAATCTCCAAAACATGAAAATGATAAAATGAAACAGATCTAACTGTTGCATTTGCATCTACAATAATTCACCTCGTGCCTATATTGTTGTTGGGAAATAGAACTAGTCTACGCACAGGCCTTGCCTCCTGTAGACTTACAATTTATTCACCCCTAAATCTTCAACTATATGGATACTCAGTGTTAAGTATTGTACTTACAAGGATTCTGTTATCTTTTTCACCATGCATAAACTGTATCTGTTTATTGGATGTATATGTGAATAAATTATTATTATTATTAAATCAGTTTTAAATGTGAGGAATGGAATGAAACGTCTGAATATGTTTTTTTTAAGGCATTATTTCCCATTGAAGATGTTGAAAAAGTCTATGATCCATCTATATGGCCTGAGGGATCAGCGGTGCAGCGTTTTAAATTTAAGAAAAATTTCCGCAGCACCCGACCATAAATTCCAAGGAATTTGTAAACTATTCAAATGTAGCAAGTTTCAAACTTCTGAACATCAACGTTCAAAGTCTGAAAAATAAGCTCAACCAACTCGGAGTAGCATGCTCCCAGTATTCTCCTGATTTTCTTCGTGTCACTGAGCATTGGCTGGATAGCGACAGACTTTATGACGTGAACATCCAAGGGTACAAACTGGTTTCAAGTTTCTGCAGGAAAGAACGTCTACACGGTTGATCAGAAATTTTTGTGAAAGAAGTGTATGTTCCTGACTGTGCGGATAAAATTGTTTTTCAAACATTTTCAAGTGGAATGTGCTTAGAATGTTCAGCGGTAAGTTGGGGAGGTGACTCCTGCCTATTATTATCCATTTATAGACCGCCATTATCAGTCTTTCGAGATTTTTTGAATAAACTAGAAAATCTCCTAGGGTATGCCCTCAAAAAATTTCATACTGTTATTCTAAGTGGTGATTTCAATGTCAATGGTCTAAGTTCCAACTGTACGGAAACAGAAGCTTTTCTGGATGTGATAGAATCTTTTCAACTGAACATTCATACTTCTCAGCCAACAAGAACGATTACTCATCTTGATGGGAGAAGAAATTCATCTCAAATTGACTATATAATATCCAGTCTGGAAAAAATACTTTGTGTTGAAACTTTTGACCTAGGTTTTTCAGACCACCTTGCACAAATCATTGAATTTCCATTCAAACCTATTACAAAAAAGCAGACACAATGCGTGTATGTGCTGAAAAGACTTTCACACCCAGGTGCGATTTCTGAATTCAAATATCTTTTTAATAAGGACGAACTTACATTGGATCTGACAGAGAATATTAATGAAGTCTTTAACCATTTCTGGCAACATTTTCTATGGTGTTTTGAGATCTCACATCCGAAACGAAAAATAAAAATAACGAATAACGAATAACAGGAAGGATACAAACATAAAATATTCAATAGAAAGTTTTGAACTGAGTAACAAAGTTAAAGAACTAAACTGGCTTGGAAAACTCTCAAATGATGATAGGATCCACTCAAAATACAAAACCATGGAAAATACTCTGAACAACCAAATTCAAATGGAGAGAACCAATCACTACTCTGCCCTAATTGAAAACTCAAATAAAATACCTTGAATGTTATAGGAGATTGTAAACACCAAATTAAACGAAAAAAAAGTATATAAACATGATATGCGTATCAGATTGGATAACGAAACTATAGAGGATATCTGATTGCTGATATCTTCGTTAAATTCTTTCCAACATCTGCTGTTGA